CTACAGACATGATACACTCATTAAACTGGCCTACACTACAAGAACGAAGACTACGCACAAGATTAATAATGTTCTACAAAAAAGTACATCAAATCGTAGTAATCCCATCTTCTATTCTTATACCATCAGACAGTAGAACCCGCAAAAATAATAATTTCACTTTCAGACATATTTCAACCAAAAAAAGATACATATAAACTTTCATTTTTTTCCATATACCGTAACTCAGTGGAATTTACTGCCAATCCATACAGTCGCTGTCACTACAGTCGACACTTTCAGAGAACAGCTCACACCAGCTGTTCTCCACTATTTTAAATTATTTTTGTGTTCTTGTAAATATATATATAGGCCACGCTGCGCAAAACAGTAGATAATCTTCAGATCAACGAAGGACTACTGAAAACCTAATGAAGAAGAATATCTAACGAATAGAAAACATCTGTCATATTCATGACTTGGTACAGGCTTTTTCTTATGTAGAACCTGATGGATTGAACCTGATTTTATAAACCTCCCACTTGTATGACAGTCACAAGCGTCAACTACTTGGCTTAAAAAAGCATCGGGAATACAAAGTCCACTTTCAGTGATATTGACCTAGTGAGCGGTTGTTTAAACTTATCAAAGATGCAAGGTTTATTATTTGGTACGTCTACATCCCTACATCGGCCAATTGATAAATAGTATAATGCAGTTGATTACCACTGGTTAGATATAGCACCTGTACACAACTACTGTTTCTTGAGAAGGATTTGTTCAACCTGTTTAGTCACTATAAAGTGTTACAATTTATATTTAGACGCAACACAAGTTACCGCTATCGCATGAGACAAGCTAAAAAAAAGTATACTCATTTTTGACCATTTTTTGTTGGACCATTATATAAAATTAGGGAGATGTGGATTCATTGTCAATGTATGTATAGCTATTTACAGACACACAAATTCAGATGCAGATCCAGGATTTAGAAAAAGGGGATGCCCAGGGACCACAAAAAAAGACAACGTTTGGATTTAGACAGGTAAACAGTCTACAATAACAATAAATGTAGCCCACTGCGGGGACCAGGACCAAGAAAACCTGCCCCTTTCCTCTCTAAAATTACATGTTACCACAGGGTTTCATATTGAGGGTCCAGGTTGAAAAATAAATTACTGTACATGAATCTGAAAAAAACCCACAAAAATCAAGGTCTTCCTGAATAATCGTCTGGTCACTTTGGTCGACTATTTCTCTAAATAATTTGGTATCGTCTGCAAACATGAACACATCTGAAATTACATTGTTTGGCAAGTCGTTTAAAAGAACGAATAACGTTGGTCTCAGTACAGAGCTTTGTGTTATCCCAATGATAACATTCCTCCAACTTTATCTTGACCCATTGACCTGTACGTATTGTTGTACACACCAAGGAAACTTCTTATCAAGTCCGTAATCTGCTTACTGATACCATAATGTTGAATCTTGTGAATCACCTGATATGTTACCGTGATAAATCAGTATCAAAAACAAAAAGTCCTTTATTCTATATTTATGTTGTTGCACTTGCAGTACCATTGACACTGTGTTTAATATTGGATTAACTCATCTTGTTCGTTCATACCGAAAACGATCAGCAGTAAACGTAATAAGAGGAAGTTTAGGAGACGAAATAGCAATTAGACAGGAAATGGTAGAACAACCGTATATTGAGATAAACAATGAAATTGACGAGCAATTGGTTGTGGAAGACAACAACGAGTCAAGACTCACACCACTATTTCGGAATAACAATGCAACTTTAAACAATGAAATAAACAGTAGTCACGATAATAGCTCAAGTTATCTAGATCCGTATTTTGAAGGTGTTGAACCCAAAACTCATAGTTCATTAAAGGAATCCGACTCAAGCTATTCATCGAACTTTAGTCTTGTCAATCCAGATAATACAGGATATCTCAATCATCGTGAGAGCGAACAATAGATATCAGATGTCTATGAAGTTGTCGTCCATGTTCATCAAAAACCCCAAATTCATCGGGATCTGCGTCGTCGGAAGATGGAAATTTTGGATATAAATATGCACATGTTTATCAACACTTGTATAAAGTACAAACAATCACGTGTATGAGAAAGCAATGACAAAGCCGAATCAAGTAGAAATTAATATAAGTGGGAAGAATGAGATTCAAGGCTGTAGGAATATAGCATCTACTGATAGGAAGGGCATTGAATCTATCGATTTTATTAAAAAAAAAAAATGGAAAAAGAAATGGACATTTATTCGTTAGAAAAACATTAGGGGATAATTGTCGTGAAATTCCAGGGAAATGTGCAGATGAAGACAACGTAAGCCTTGATATATAACCGAATAACGATGATAATCCGATGTGTAATGCTGGGGACTGTACCGAACAAGGTTCCACATTTTAATATTTTGAGTGATTATTTAGATATGGACGATCTTGTAATTAAAAGAGAAATATAATCAGCAGACATAATTACGTTTCATTAGATATTTTATTCTGATCACGATATATTAAAATGTTTCATTATCTAACTTGCAGTAAACTTGTGATGGACCTAGTAAACGGTATTATATGTTTATATAACATCAGCTATCATTAATTGCATTTAGTTTGAAGGGATTGTAAGTTGATATTATGTTATGTTATTGGACTTAGTTGTTTGGTTGTTGTGTCATTTGTATGTCTGATTTTACCTTATTACATACTGTTGTAGTTGCTAAACATAATATTTCATCAGGATAGATTTTTAGAACGAGCTGAACTCTCATAAAACAAAAGAAAAATATTTATGCAAAATGCATTTTAGAAGTAAACAAATCCGATATATAATTAAATCTGTCATCTTGCACTAATCCTGTAGGAACTGAAAAATTAGTATTATTGTAAAGCACATTTAAAAGAGAGGCAAAAGACACAAGAGGAACATTCAAACTCATAAGTCGAAAATAAACTGACAACGCCGTGGTTAAAAAAGAAAACAATCAACAGAGAAACAATAGTACACAAAACACAACATATAAAACTAAAGACTGAGCCCATGAAACTACCAAACTAGGGGTGATCATCGGGAGGGTAAGCAGATCTTGCTCCACATTTGGCACCTGTCGTGTTGCTCATGTTAGTACAAACCCGGTAATAAGTCTAATTCGGCAGGTCACATTCGGGGAAAGGGGACGGGATTGTAGTTACGACATTTGGAACATATCCGTTATCATTTAATATATATACTGGTATATTTTAAGTCAAATGGTAAATATAAATTTGAAGCGAATGTTATTTTGCCGATAGGCTGGTTTCACTTTTCTTATATGATACGAACTGTAGTACTTTATTACATAGTCTAAAAAGCCCGTTCTCTACCTTTTGTATAAACAACTCGGTGCCTCTTAATTCTTTAGACTGTTTGACCTGTTTAATATCATCTGTCTAATAAAACATCCTGTTTCACATGTTTAGCTCACCTGGCTCACTGGACCTTGTGAGGGATTGCCATCACTTGGCGCCCGTCGTCGTCGTCGATTTTAACTATTTCAAAGCTTTTCTCCTCTGAAAATACTAAACCAATGTCAACTTAACTTGGAGTGTATGATACTTATGGTATCTAGTATAAAGTGTATGTTTTGTATTTACGGTCAGTCAACAAACATGGCCGTCATGGTTAAGAATAGAACATAAGGGAAGTCCAGATTTTTGAATTATAGCTCAAAAATAATAAAAGTAAGAGGTCAACTGACGTAGTAAAAAGTATTAGCTGGTCAAGATCTATTAATGAGCAAATTTTCAGATAATGTGAAGTAAATGCCCCTGATAATTTATAAAATTATTCAGTTTTTGGTTGCTATATTGAAAGTTATTATTAATTTTTAACTGCAAAAAATGTTCAGTAAAGTACGATCAACCAATAAGCCTCAGAACGGAATTTTGGTAATTGATTCCTTATTTTTACCATTTTGTTTTAGTTTTCGCAGAAACTATGATAGATAGAAATTTCAAAGTGCAGAAATGTTCGACAAAGGAAGACCTACAAATAAGTCAAATTGACCCAAAATATGAATTGATTCTTTAAAGAAGGCATTGTTCCTGAAAAAATGATTTCTACCATTTGTTTCTGTTTTTTTGTTGCAAAACGTATGATTTATAGAGAAAATCAATTAAAAATATGTTTAAACACGCATTTATATACATTTATATCTTACAAAAAAAAAAGAGCGATACAGGCTCTCTGAAGCCTCTTATTTATAGATGTACTTGAGATCGGAAAAATACGTCCAGAAAGCAAGTATAGTGTGATGGGAAGAATAAGGAGCATTTGATAAAAACTAAACCTGTACCCTCCTGGAAATGGAACTGAAGAGACAGAAGATCATATAAATGATATATTGACAAACAACTATATTCTAATATGCATATCTTCAGATGAAAACAAAAATGTCAAGATGGCATATCTTTATGTGTAATTATGAGACCACGGACTTTACCGTCTCTTCGCAACAACAAGTTGAAACTATTGACAATGTTTAAATTTCGAAAATATTAGGAATATTTAAAAAGAAAAAGAAAACACAAACAAAGTGAGATACACGATTGAGCCAATTAGACACCAGCAACGTATGAAACTAAATAATAATTAAAAAAAAATAACAGAAATAATATTTGACAGGAAAACAGACCACGACAATCACCAACACTCGACTCTTCCACAACAAATAGCTCAAAACTGTAATAGGAACAAAGCATTTTTCAAGTTGCATGATAACTCGACAAATGTTAGCGAAAACTTCACTCTAAGGTATCAAAGTATTATTATGCGATTTGATGAACATTTAGTCAATTGTAAAAATGAAAATAAACATATCATTTCTTTTTTTGTATTTGATGACAATTTTCACTAATATTTTTTTATTAACTAAATGATACGCAGGTAGTACTACTAACTGTAGCTATGTGTTAACTGATCTGGATCAATACAATCATACAGAACAGTTAAAGGGAAATAACCTATGTAGTCATGTGACGTAAACAGAAGTTCACATACGAATAAATCAATGCCTGTAATTGTACAAAACAAAATATGATTTAAACTGAAAGAGACTTAAAGAATTATTCTAAATTCTTTTGCTTGCGTAAGTATTCACATTCTATGTCAATAATGTGTCTTAAAAATGTATAGCACTTTCGTTTTTGCAAAGCATTTGATATATTTGAAATTAATCTATTTGCTTTATTATGACACAATTTGACAAAACGATAAAAGTTAATGAAGCAACAATTGTTATGTTTTCTGGACTGTTCTGGTGAAATAGCAGTAAGTCGTCGTGACGCACAACTGTGTATTTTAAAAAAATTTTAAATCTACATTCCATTTTTAAAATGTGGGGTGCGGAAAACCAACTACAAAAGACCTTATGTAACGTTAATCTCAATTTATATTTTTCAAACTAAATTAATCTGAAATAGATTTTTTAAAGTGTAAATGAAAACACATTTTTTATAAGTTACAGGTAAAATGGGGTTAAATGTATTTTTGATAAGATCCAAACATGAGAATACCTGAACGTATTGTAAAAAGGACATTTAAATATTCAACATAACCTTGACATGGGAAACTCGTTTTATATTTAGTGTAAATAAATAGATTTTTGTTTCGAAGCACACGTTCTATTTCCTTAGATATTCAATACAAATATCTTTAATAAATCATTAGGGTAAAAATATCTAATAGTTTTTACTTGATTTATTGAAAGTGACTGGGCGGGGTTAATTAATTGGTTCGCTAATCATAGATCAGTCCAGCGTTTGATTGGTGTTTATTTAAAATAAACTCATAAATGAAGATTTCAGTTATAGTCCTTGATGCGGTTTAAATATATTAACACTATATGTGTGAATTGAAAAGTAAATAGTCGTTGTTTTTTTCTTTGTAAAACGGAATTTCTAAAACGTGTAAACATTTGTCACATTGTAGAAATGTTGTACTTAAATAAGGGGTGGGGTGGGGGATTTTTTTTTTGATTTTATATTTGTGATTTCCGTTCTTAAAATAGCGCGAAGAAATTTCTTAACAGATTTTCCTTAAGGAATTTAACAGATACTTTTTAAATATAACACAAGTTTTCAAACTGAACAATAGAACATGGACCATCCGAAACTTTAAAACACTTGAGTTATTTAGTGTTTTTCAAAAAACAATTGGCATTGACATATAAACCAACTGTGATCCTCTTCAAGTTGCCTTGTACATTTATTCCTTAAGGGCAGACTTCTATGTATGTTTGCGATTGTTTTTGTAGCAGTTCAGTGTTTCTGTTGTTCCGTTGTTTTCCTCTTATAGTTGATGTGCTTTGCTCGGTTTTCGTTTTTGACCAGGATTTGTTTCAGTTTAATCGATTTATGACTATTGAACAGCGGTATACTACTGTTGCCTTTATTAATACAGAAACTTCATAGGACAGATGAAATTTTTTTTAGCACTTTCCCTTAACTTCACGTCCCATTATATCAGGTATATAGATGATAGCATCTCACCAGTTTATTAAGTTTGGAAAACATTTATCTTATTGAACGTTGAATAAACGATACAGTAGTTAAGTCTGCCTCATATCTGACTTACATCTACAAAGTGACAATGATGGTCGGTCAGAAAAAAATTGCGACAAAAGAGATGATTCTGGCTTCTAAATTGTAAATTTGATGTAACATTAGAGCAGCGTCTGCATATGGAGTATGTATCTACGAGTTGAAATAAGACAACACAAAACAATAGTTTCACTGGCAAAAAAGAATGTTGACGTCAACATGGATACGTACAGATTCTTTTAAAAAACGTTCGTTTCATATAATTTTAAAACATTGCTGTAAACAGTGGATATGTCTACTTCATCTTTTAATTCAGGTTAAAATCACGTACATGCATATATTGATTCTTTTATCGCGGTGAATAGATACACGTGATTAAGTTATTGTGACAAATAATTACGCTAAGTTTATGATATATAACCGCGACCTCATGTAAAATATGGACTGTCCACTTGAGCGGATAGTGCGAGACTTTATTATATATTAAGTATATTTGTTTATTTTTTTTTTGGCAGTTGGATGTTCAGATTTCACAGAAAAATAGTAAAGTACATTAATTGACAAGTGATGAGGCAAAATGATTTTTCTCCTAATACTGGTAAATATAAAAAATTATGTGATAAGTGTTTTCAACAGTTAAACTGTTTAACTCCCTTTCTCTTGATGAATAGTCAGTATATATGTATATATGTATCAGGTAACATTTGCCGCTTAACTGTATAAGGTTCACACTAGTATACTTGGTTAAATATATTGTTTCACAAGTCTGAAATTAGTATTATGTCATAGTCATCGCTAGTCAAATAAATTGAAAGTTACTTGTAACAAGTATAATGGGTACTTAAAATGCATACACCTCAGTAAAAGTCTACCTTATTTTTATATTGAATGCATTTTGTTGAAACACCTCATACGTCTGTGAAGACCAACAAAGTACCGTAACAGTACAGCCAATACACACACACATGTGCATTCTTACAGAGTTGTTTGGCTAGGATTGGTAAATGTAATTTAGAACATTCTAACTGAATAGTCAATCCAATAACTAAATACAAAGTGTGATATATAACTAACAGTCCAGAACATCGCTGTGTCACCAGTAGGCTTTATATAACCCTGCGCAAGTCTTAAGTTTACACTGAATTACAAAACTTGAAAATAACCAGATTATGAAATAACAGACGAAATATCTTAACAGTAAATCACATAAAAGTATTTAAAACAATTTAGATATTTTACAATGCTTGTTTAAATAATTGGCAGCATTTAACATCTTGAATGAAGATCATTTCCTTTGTATAAGTGTATATATGTTAACATAATTGTCCAGTTATACATTCTGACTAAAATACCTGTTTAAAAAAGACACCTTGAATAATAACATACTAAAGAGAACAAAACTTTGCTCACAAGGTTTGCAATAAAGGAAATCGATAATTATTATCTCTTTTAGATTATTGGAACGGCGACTGGATATGACTTAAAATGTCCAGCCAAAGCTGAATGGAGATTAAGAGCACACGTTTCGTGTTATTCGGAGGACAAATATGTATGTTTGTTCAACTTACTGGAAGAGAAATATATGGAAAATTGTTTAGGTTCAGATCAAAGTAGCATAGGTAAAATTGGTTTCCAAACGTTTACCACTTTATGATTAAGTAATTGGGGACTAGTGTTTTTTTCGAAAATAAAATATTTTTTTTATTTATTTTCTATTTTTTGTAATTGTAACAACTATTTTAGAACGAATAGTCATAAATATAATTTTTTTTCAAAGATACCTGTCTTATAATTTTGTACGCCAGCTGAGCGTTTCGTCTACTAAAGTCTCATCAGTGACGAGCAGATAACGAAAGTTAAAATATCAAATAAAGTACTAAAATTGTGGTCATTGAAGACCCACAATTCGGAAAGATAAAGTATTCATTAATGTAAGATACCCATAGAATATTTCTAAATATGATCCAGTTATTGAGAGTTATGCAGTGTGTATGGTAATTATTATTAATACTAGCAATGATACTATTACACGATTAATACACATATCAACAAGGTTTTCTCGTCTCGTTTAACATCATACATATGAAAAATTGTCAAATACATGAAGATAATAGTGCCGTATAATCTGAGTGTGAACTTTTCATAAAATGTTAAAATATGTGAAATCAAATCAAGTGTTTAAATAGCAACGCCATCATACTGTTAATACGTTAAAAAGATATTTGTTTCACCATATTATAGACCAATCGTAACTTCTCTTCTGATTTCTGAAGACTTACATACATTTGGACCTATTTTTGGAACTTATCAATTGGAGTTTAAATTAACGCCATCATAATTTATTATACTTTTTTTCCCTTCCACATTAACGAACTGGTATGTGGATTTTCGACCAATGGGTTTGATTTGTTTTCTAAATAGAAAAATAAAATATAATGCTAAAACCAGAATAAAAGAACATAATATTCTAGTCATAAAAAAGAGACGAAAGAATCCAGAGCAACGCATGAGTCGAAAACAAACGAATAACGATCAAAAGACAAACAACAGTATACAAAATAGAACACAGAAAATAAAAAAAATTGAGCTACATGAATCCCAAAAAAAATCGGGGGTCATCTCGGGTGCTATGGAAGGGCAAGCTAATCCTGCTCCACATGTGGCACCCGTTGTGCTGCTCCTGTAAGTAAGAACTACAATATGTAGACTACAGTGTTACAATGAGTTTAAACAAAATGAACAGGAATCGTCGACTGTACGTATAATATATTATACCAAGTTCATTTTTAATTCAAAGGAAGTAAGCTAGTGTTCCAACCGTTGTTTAATCTAGCAGAATGTAATGCCGAAAGATTTCAGCCTTTTGTGTTCACCACCCATGGACACAGTGAATGTATCTTCCGTAAATCAAAATGTGTTGAAGAGGGACAGGTAATATTCAACAATGGTTCTTCTAGCAACGATGTTGCTTGTCGATGTGACTACACAAAGGGGTATGCGTTTGTAACAAGACCAAAGAACATTTGTTTCTGTATACCATTTGAGGAAGATTGCTCTTGTTTAAGAGTTACATGTACAAAACTATCCTCAGGTGAGTTTTTTTTAATAAGTTGATTGCTATATACATTTATCGAAATAAGAAAGCCTATTATTTATGTTGTTTTCTTTGATATGTACCCCTTATAAATAAATTGTAATTCAAACGAATCCAAAAGATCATTACTATGTTTCTTTATATTATTAATATTTTGTTTTAACTCTTGTGTTGTTACTCGATAGTTCCAATACGAATAGACGAAGCACACATCAGACATCTGACCTTTTACAACGATCAATCCATTATTTTGATTATTTATGCATAAACATAGCCGTTACAAGTTGCTCAACTTTGTATATTGTCGCTCCAGGCAAAATTATATATGAATCCAAAACCTAATACAAATATCGAAGAGCTGTAAAAACCAAAAGGCCAAAGTCTGATTATGGTGTTCACTTACTAAATTAAAGAAATTTAGAATCAATCATCAAATGAAGTACGATTAATATGGATAAGTAATTCATAGATTTTCTCTGTAGATTATCAATGCATCACTAATGAGGAGATACTGGTGAATGCAACATGCCAGGAAATACTTCCATCCATGTAAGTTAGATCGTTACTTGGAAATGTTATCCTCTTAGATATTTTATTCGTTTAAATCTGTTTAAAAAATCTAAACTAATGTATATATATGTGCCAGTTATTTCAAATGCCACCTTGCACGGGAAGGACCATCTCAAATGTTATTTGATAGCTGCATCCGCTGATCTGCTCGACAAATAATTTGAATCCTTTCTTATTGTTTGTGTTCATGTTTGTTGTTTATGCACATATATCAAAAGTCTGTCCAATTGTGTGATTCTTGCATAGTTCTAATCCTCTTGGATATACACATGTATCATTCGATTGAATCTGTTTTTGTTTATATCTTAACTCATGTTCATTTATTTGCCTGTTATTTCAAAAGTCGCTTTAGTCATATCAAATATCGATTACAGGCTAACTCACTAAAACTCTACAAGATGAGCTATTTAGATTATGATATAAACCAACATAATATATTGATTATTCTGTACTAATGTACTTATATTATTAGACTATGTGAATGCAATTATGATACAATTGAGAATGAGATGTGCAATGATTGCCAATGAGGACTATCCATGTCAAAATCACAAAGAGGTGATCAATAACGATCTAAGAGTATATTTGGTTAACAGCCGATTTATTAACCCAAACTTATAGGCCAAACAGTTCATGTTCATTAGATTCTGTAAAAAAAATGTATTAGGTATTGCTAAAAAAGTATAATGTACTCTGGCGGAATAACATGGACGGAATATTTGCAGAAACTTGAAAAACAGAAATAAATTCCCCCAAAATAGAGTATATTTAATATATCATAAACTTATATTTCTACAAATCCTATTAACATATCTATTTACTAACAAATATCCAAATTAAACAGTTTCTTTTTGAATCGGAGATGCAAATACGATAGCTTAATTGGTTCGCTTGAATACATAAAAAATAACGAGAAAATGAATCTTTGCCCAATGGCGTGTTAACGTTTTACGCATAAAGTTTATTTATCAAAGGAGTTTTTGAATTAGGCACTGTTCATAAAACACTTCTGACATGCTTGTGATTAATTATATTGTTTGTACAACTTTATTTTACACAAGTATTAGTTAGTCTATGCCTAACGAAAGTTACACAACTAGAGTGAAAAGAAAAAAAAATGCTTAAAACACGAATAAAAAATACCAAGTTTAAAGATGGGACAAATGAGTAGATTTGCAATGACTACCAATAAGGCGATTATCCGTGTCAAAATGAAACCTCTCTGATTCAAACACGAACCTCAGTGATTGCAACATTAAACATTGTTGAATTTTGAAATGCCACTCGTTTGATGTGTTTATGCTTTTAGTTTTGCCATTTTATAAAGGACTTTCCGTCTTGAATTTCCTTTTGGAGTGTAGTATTTTTGTTATTTTCCTTTTTGTCATCAAATGACAGTCATGTTGCATTCGGAATGTGATTATTGTGTGACTTTTGTCTTGTCTGTATTATTTAACTGTAAGACAGCCTTTGAGGATATCTGACGATGCTGAATGTAACATGTGTAGTTGGCATTACAATCGGTACCGTAAGTATATTTAAGGCCAAGGTACACTGAATGGTCTATGTCACAGATGTGGTACAATTTTAATAACAACTTTAGCTCGTTGGTCTATAACTGAGGATAATAAAAAATGCATTTACCATTTTTTCGGAAATATTTCATTAAACTTAAAGGTGAAAATTGTATAGAAATATAATCGCCCAAAACCGTTTTTAAATTTGTGAATTTATGACAACAACACATATCTTGTGAACGAAAAAAATCTATGGACTTGCAAATACAGATTTAAAAACATATTTAAGAACGTTATTGCCGATTTTATATGCTTTCCTTCCAAATGTTTTCTTATCGTGAAAGAATTCGATCAGTTATATTTCAGAAAATAACAGACAAGTGAATTACTTTTTCGACTTTCAGTAAAAATTCAAAGAGATAAAATTTTACCGACATTTGTGATATAGCCTATTTTCTGTACATTGGCCTGATATCGACAAAGAGAAACCAACCTAATTTTACCTTACCTACCTTACCACGGAATCATGACACTTTTATGCAATCATGAAAACAAAAATTATTGTAAAAATAAAATATAACCGTATTATTAATTGTAAATTAGGCATGAAAACGAATTAAAATGATAATTGAACTGTTGATATTTTTATATATGCAATTGAGTAAAAAGTAAAATAACAAAAATACCGAACTTCGAGGAAAATTCCAAACGGAAAGTCCGTAAGCAAAAGGCAAAATCAAAAGCTCAAATACATTAAAACGAATGGATTACAACTGTCATATTCCTGACTTGGTACAGGCATTTTCTTATGTAGAAAATAGTGGATTAAACCTGGTTTTATAGCTAGCTAAACCTCTCACTTGTATGAAGGTCGCATAAAATTCCATTATATTCACAACGATGCGTGGAAAAAAACACATAATAGGTTAAGATGTCAACAAATACGGGTACATCAGTCAACATTGTGTTATAATCTTAATCATTATAAAAACAAGTAAATATGCCAACAAAGATAAACAAAAAGGCATATAGACTAAGCACATAAGCAAAACCGAAAGACAAGAATACAAAAATTTACCATAGCACAATAACTCAATGACAGGATGTATAAGTACCGAGCCACGTCAAATGGGTATTGCCAATAATAGCCTAACCAGTAAAAGTAATAATTTACAAAGACAAATAAAAGAATATTATAACACCTTATTAAGATGACAAAGAACGTCAGTACCTAGAATCTATACTTCAAGACCGTCATGTTTTATTTGTGAAGTTGATACGGAATATTTATCAACAAGGTCTTGGTATCTTCCGATGAACTTTTTGTTTTAGAAAAAGGTCGAGAGGTTCTTCGACATACCCCTGGTTCATCAACTTTCTGTTCAGGCACTGGTGACGTTTTACAAAGTCTGAGTAGCAGCTGCCATCTCTTGAATACCGAATGAGCTAAAAATGAATACCCATATGCAAGTGAAGTTGGTATATTGCTCCCAAGGTGGAAGAAATTGATCATTTCAAAATTAAAATCGTCTCGTTGGTCATGATTCTGGTACTGAGATGACCGCTTATGTCAAAGTCCAGGTATAAGACTAAAAATGAGGGAGAAGAAGCCGTGTCTGTTGTTTCTTTAATTTTTAATTCTGGAGAATATATTAATGGAACCCAATCAGAAAAGTTTGGATTCTTTATGGAAAAAAAACATCATCAATATATCTGAATGTGAAATTAAATGATCTGGCATCTTTGATCGTCTTGTTCTTGACAAGTGTCTGAAAGAACTCTGACTCATATGAAAATAAGAAGAGGTGGGCAAGGAGAGGACCATAACTCGTTCCCATAGGAATGCCGACAATTTGTTGAAAAAGAATACCTCCAAATTCAACAAATATATTGTCAGTAAGAAACTCCAGCATACTGATCATTTGTTTCTCTGTGTAGCATGTTTTAGCTTTTTTTCTTACTATTAACAAGCTAATAAATTTAAAGCGTATGCTACCATTTTATGTTGAAAAGCATTTCTATTAGACGATTTTGTAAATTCACTGGGGGAGTGGTGGTATACAGGGTTAAAAATTGAAACTTTAGATAGAACTAATTTCAGAAAAAATTCTTTTAGAATCCACATATGGTTAGTACCACTGCGCGAGTAAACAGTTTCACAGTATTTCTAAAGACCCTCTATCACTGCGGACAGAATCTTTGTCAATCTAAATTGTAAGAACTATTAACATGTCTCTTTTTCAGATCACACAACACAGTTAATAATACAGTGCAGTTAATCGAAAGTAACAGAAAAAGTAAGCATTTAAGCATAATATCTAAATACAAATACATGTCCAACATTTGTCACGTAAAGAATCCTCAAGTATGTCTCGGGTGTCATTTGATTTGTCCTTGAAATTTTGACCAAGCAACTGCAACATCAATGGAGGGCTTTTGAACTCACAGCAAAATTTTCTAGAATGAAACACTATACGAAAATTCATAGGTGTCTTACATTACATAATACCCATAAACAAACTTTAATCTACAAAAAGCTGTTGTGACTTTGAGTTTTGATCTCTTTTCTACGATTCAACAACGTTTGTTTATGATGTTCGGATGCTATTCTCCATTTTGGAGGGCGAGTTTGATATTGTATTTAATTATCTTATAGTATCATTGTATTGATTTATCATGTTATTGGTGCTGGTGGACGTCTCGTACCCGAGGATATCAACTGCAATGCAGGTAGTACTTTTGTGTTCACATATACAAACACTGATTTGTTCATTTATGTCAGTTTAATGTATATAACATCAACTTGTAAAGTAGAAGAAGAATGATTCAACAAGGTCATGTCATACGAATATATTAATAATTAATACAAATGCCTATATTCAAAGTAACGAAATAATTGGCAAGCTTTTGGTGTATCAGAACATATTTATGCATTAAGTTTTTCATTTATTTAGAACTGAACCTGCTTTGATTTTTCTACTTTTTGTAAGAAATGAGACATATCTATAGAATTATTACTTTCTAACAATTCGTAACCAACACTCTACATTCGACATGCCACTCGAAGTCTAAAGAGATCATATTATTGGTATACAAACTAAATTTTTATATTTTTCATTTAGGTTACACCAATGCACACCACGTTGCATATATCATCATTGTTATTACAATTCGTAACCAACACTCTACATTCGACATGCCACTCGAAGTCTAAAGAGATCATATTATTGGTATACAAACTAAATTTTTATATTTTTCATTTAGGTTACACCAATGCACACCACGTTGCATATATCATCATTGTTATTATAGCTGGTGAGTACACATTATACTGCCAAAATGATTTTGTTATGATGGAAAAATATTGTTGTACAATATTGTCTTAACGAATATAGATAAAATTTAAAAGTTTGTGATATATGTAACATGCAGAAGTAATCTTTTTTGGTTAAAACAACAGGATTATTAAAATAAGAATATGGTTTATGATTGCCAATAAAAAATTTAACCACCAAAATTCAGAAATGGATGTAAGCGATTATTGGTAACAGTAGGGTCTTCATGAATGAGAATCTTGCTTCAAAAATTAAAAAGTATTCTAGTAAATCTTATAACATGTATAAGATGGGCAATTTGAACACCACATGCAGCGGCTAGAATAATACCTCCATCTTTAAAGGCTTGTTTTGATGTTACTTTAAAACATTTTCTTTGTAATATAATTAAATTTCAATTGAGCAGATTTGTTTCAATACACATCATTTTCTATTTTGATACGTTGAGTTAGATAAAAATCTTTGGAATAAATGCGGTTAGTAAAAAGAAAATTTAATTATTAAGGCAAACTGAATCATAAATGTATTTTTTTTAAACCATAATTGAGACTCAAATTATTTTTGTAAAATGTTTTTTTTTTAATTTCTGTTTTTTTTTAATTTCTGATTTTTTTTTCGACAGAATATTAATAACTTTGAAAAATAATAATTCAAACAGAGTTTCCAAGTTAGTATGTGTAATACTTTCGAAATGCATTTCAAAATTATAATTACCTCTGTGCACCTCCATGGATAATATTCACTTTATTTTTCTATAGAAAATCTTACAGGGTTTTTTTTTTGAAACGGGTTTTGATATTTTTGTCGTTTTCCATAGTTCTACAGTTCTGAGTCATTCCTGTAAAACAAAAGGTTGAAAAAATAAGTAAAATTGCGAACGGGAACAAGAAAAATGCTATAATTAATAACACTTTTTTTCCATCTTTGCAGTTTATCTTGTCATTGCTGTTATAGTGTTGTTAAAGTTCTGTGTCTTTGGTAAGCATTTTCCTTTTTATTATTATAAATACACACAACTGTTAACATGATATATTAGGCAGGTATTGCGTTCATTAAAAAAAATAACTTTAAACAATCTAATAAAACTATAGAGATGTTTACGTATATTTAATTGATTTAATATAAATCCTAATAATAATCAGATAATAATAATGATAATGAAAATACTAATTGATAATAATAAATGTATTTCTTTATTTAAAGAGTGATATACATCTAGCTTCAAAACTAAACTTACCTGAAGTGCCACATTCTTATCGTTATCAGACAATTTGTCGTTTGCATACTGACAAATAACACGTATTATAATATGACTATAAATTTTCTGTTTTCTATTTGGCTAAAAGCATAGGTCACCAACTTTGATAAAACATTATATTCACAGGGGAAAAATCACGAGAGGTTAATATAAGATTTGGAACAGCGTCCGTGTACCTAAATATAGATATTCCAAGGCAACGTCAATGACGTAGGTTTATGACGTCGTGCAAAGTCCCGTTTGGTTTTTTTTTCTTCTTGTTTTTGATGCATTTTTTTAAAGGAAACTTTATTGAATATTTCAACTTATGAAAATTAGCAACTGCAAAATCAGATGATAAATTTAGTATACAAACAAGGAGCAGTTTTAAAAGTATCTTGAGCAAATGCTATAAAAAAAGAGAAGGATAACAGTCATATGATAAAACAATTGTTGACTTTTGATTTCAGTTGATATAATGATTTATCAACCTCATAGATATGACATTCACCTTCGGCCGTCGGATTCGGTGAATATCATATCTCTGGGGTTGATAAATGACGATATCAACCTCATCAAAAATCAATAATTGTATATTATTATTACTCTCAGATGGTATCGAGATAGTACATTATCTTTATGAAAATATGCTATAAACTGTAATTTATAACCCAAAATTCACAAGAAGGTACTCTTTGTCTCCAACAAATATTTAGAATGTTAACATAATCTTTATTTCAAAACAGAGTATAGTCAAAGCGTTTAATACTAGTGGCTTTATTTATTTTAATGGACTTATATTTATTATTGTAAACTAATTGCAATGAGTACAATAAGTTCTTTGCGGAGAACATATAATAAAAAAAAAAAAACTAAAGGTAACATTTGTCAACTGGAGCAAATTCATCTAACAAGGATCGTCGATAATAAAATTCCCATTATACTTTATTATTCCAAAAGGAACATAATAGTTAAGATTCTATAGCAAAATAGAATCTTACTGATTTCAATATTAAAATAAAATGCAGTAAGTTGTCACATTGTATATTTTATATATCTATATTTTGTTATTATAAAATATCCATGCAACCACGAATCCCGTATTGCATGATAGGACCCAACACAATTTTAGTGTTTCGGCAGTTAAACTTGGGATGGTCATTTTAAGATGCATTATTTTAATATAATCAAATATGAAAATTATTCATGTATAAACGATATCTTTATATTTTAATTCTTCATCAATAGATCCAGTTATTATGACAGATCTGCCATCATCAGGGTTCATACTGTCAATTTTATGTTAAACTTTGATCTACTAAGCATATCTCCAACACTTTTATGTTTGCTATACGCAACTATTGGTGCAGCATTGAATATATGTACAAAATCTTCGTTAAACTGTAATAGATGCCAGTGTTTCATGATACGTTTCTTTAGTTTACGTATATATGGGTTATATTTAGTTATTAAAACTAACGGAATATTTCGTTTTTCTTTTGATTTGTTTTGTTGTAATAATTCAGTACGGTCAATTGATAAAGCATCAGTAATACTATCATCTGTTTCGACGTTATCATAACCCCTATCTAATAATTTCACTTTGAAATTAGTTAGATTGTTTATTAATTTGTTATGGTCACTTGTGTTTCTAATTTGCCGTATTGATTCACCTTTTATAAATCCTCGGAATACATGTTGTGAGTGACAGCTTTTTCTGTGCAGATAGAGATAAGAATTTGTTTCTTTAAAATGTATTTTAAGGTAAAGAGTTCCGTGTGTTGTAAATCATTGACTTTTAATTACATCAACATCTAAGAACGACATTTTATCGTTTGAGATTTCAAAGGTGAACTTTAATAATGGGTTATAATTATTTGCTAGACGAAAAAAATCTATAATTTCATCAGATGTTCTACCATATATTATGAATCCATCGTCCCTATATCTGCAATGATAGCATACTTTGTCTTTATGTTGAAATGCAGAAATTATTTGATTCATTATTTCGAACATGAGTATGTCCGGTGAAGGAACTGCACCAATTGCCGTACCTATTATTTGTTTATAAATTTTTCCATCAAATTCAAATATATTGTTTTCTAAAATGAGTCTCAACAAATGTATTAATACATTGACCGGCGGGTCATTGACTTTGAAGTTTGATTTGTCAAAACTGTCATAGGCTCGATAAAGCTTCTTGAGGAAGATTAGTAAACATCTGTTTTATATCATATGAAACCAAAAAGGTTATTTGCCATTGGTTTTAATTTCTCAATAATATTAAGGAATGATGTAGTATCTTTTATATATGTAGACTGATTTTGAACTATAGGTATAAGAAAATAATCAACATAATGACTTATAAGTTCAGTTACGGAACTGAAAACGGCAAATTAGAAACACAAGTGATCATAACACATTAATAAACAATCTTAGTAATTTCACTGTGAAATTAATAGATAGGGGTTATGATAAAGTCGAAATAGATGATAGTATTAGTGATGCTTTATCAATTGACCGTACTGAATTATTACAACAAAACAAATCAAAAGAAAACAAAAATATTCCGTTAGTTTTAATAACTAAATATAACCCATATATACGTTAAATGAAGAAACGTATCATGCAACACTGCCACCTATTACAGTTTGACGAAAATTGTGTACAAATATTCAATGCTGCATCAATAGTTGCGTATAGCAAACATAAAAGTGTTGAAGATATGCTTAGTAGATCAAAGTTAAAGACTTTAACAAACAATTGACAGTTGGACCCCTGATGATGGCAGATCTGTCATAATAATTAGATCTATTGATGAAGAATTAAAATATAAATATATCGATATATACATGAATAATTTTCATATTTGATTATATTAAAATAATGCATCTTAAAATGACTATCCCAAGTTTAACTGCCGAAACACTGAAATAGTGTCGGTTCCTATCATGTAATATGAGATGCGTGATTGCATGGGTGTTTTATTATAACAGAAAATTCCTAAACAAATGACAAAATCAAAAACTGGAACAAATCAAACGAATAGATAACAACTGTCATATTCCTGACTTAGTACATGCATTTTCTTATGTAGAAAATGGTGGATTTAACCTGGTTTTATATCAAGTTAAACCTCTCACTTGTATGACAGCAGCATAAAATTTCATTATATTGACAACGATGTGTGAACAAAACAAACAGACATAATAGGTAAAAATGTCAAAAATAGGGGTACAGCAGTCAACATTGTGTTATAATCTTAATCACTATAACCACGATAACATAAGAAAAAAGAAAAAAAACCCAAATATATAACAAAGAAAAACAAAAGGCATAAAGACAAAGCACATTAGCAAAAACGAAAGACAAGAACACAAAAAAATTACCATAGCAAAATAACACAACGACGGGATGTATAAGTACCGATCCACGTCAAATGGATATTACCAAAAAAAAAAGAGTAAACTGTAAAAGTAATAATTTACAAAGAAAAAATAAAAGAATACTATAACACGTTGTTAGAATGATAAAGTTCGTCAGTTACTTCAAGACCATCGTCTATCATTTGTGTATTTATAAATAAGTTTTATAGGATTTTTATCATGTCGAATGGAATGTATGATTTTTTCAAATGCGTGTTCTTGTTTATTATACAAATAGTCAGATTTTCTATAAAATGACAAACATTTCACAACATGATCAGCAAAAGTAGTGCATTGTATTATAAAAGCTTCTCTTTAATCATTATCTGGTCTTGAAAATGTTTTTTTCACGATTTGCGCTCAATAATCCACACTTGCACCATAGTTTTCTGTTTGCTGAGAATAACCTTTTAGTTTCAAATTGATTGCAACTCTTAGAAAAATGAAAACTCGTTAAAGTTCATAAGTAAGCAACTAAATCCGCAACTTTTCAAAGACATGTAATGTAAACATGTGGTTGCCCACACAAACACCTGTATATACACTTTCCTAAGGTTTAAATCGCAACAAAAATTGAATTGTATTTGTCAGAGACAACCGAGTATATATTACTATCTATGCACAAAATATACCATGTCAATTCCTAAACAACACCGCTGCCTAAACTTGTTAAATTTCTGATAATATTTACTGTTTTTTGTATCCGAAAAAACATTACAAATATACGAAAGCCGAGAAAGATCATTCATAATTCAGAATTCAAAATTCAAAAATTCAAAACTCACAAATCAAGAAAGATAATCATGTTTAATTGCAGTTGAAATCCAAACACAACAAATATTATCTTAATCTTATTACCTGATCTTATATACACCGTAGATTAATAATAAAATTTTCCACAGACAAACAATAAAAATTTTGAAAGGATATGTGCCGACATTATGTCAGACAAGTGACAAATTTCTTATTATCACTTATATTCCGGGAGAGGGGGATATTGAGTGTTACTTCAATCCTTATTCGGATGTTTTATGTTTTTCTTCGTTTCATAGCTTGAGAATCATTCATAATATATAAGTAAGAAGATTTGGTATGATTGCCAACGAGAAAACTCCCAACAAGAGACTAAATTACACAGAAATTAACAACTAAAGGTCGCCATACCGCTTTAGTAAATGAGTAAAACCAATGCAACATAGTCAGCTATAAAAGGCCTAAAATGATAAATGTAAAGCAATTCAATAGAAAAAAAAAACTTATATGATATACAGCAACAAACGACAATCACTGAGTTACAGGCACCTGACTTGGGACAG